ATGAATAAGGCCGGGCACTCTGTTTTTTGAAGCAAAGAGCCCCAACCGTAGACAACATGCGACGTGCGCTTGCATAAGGTTGGAGGATCGCAAGGGTTCCCAGAGGAACAGCAACCGCTGTGCTGCACTAGAGGAAATATGTGCGTTTAGAGCAGCTGTGCCCAGCTGCGGACTTGACTCAAGTTAGCCTGGGTCGTTTCACCACTAAAACCCAAAGCGCACAACGGGAAGACTCTCTAGAATGTACAGACGATGCAAGCGACCCATACAATGCAGTTTGAATCTGGCATTTGCTTCACCCCGGAGGATGTACATGCTACTAAGGGACTCAAGTGCCCCTTTGCCCCACGTGTCAGTAGTTAATAGCAGGTGTCAGGGCATAGAAACCTTTGACCCTTTTGTGGGGACAGCGCAGGAAGTGTAATGGAACCCCCTTTTCAGCGGGTGGAATTCAGAAGGTAAATACCATGGCATGCGGATGCTCAACACAGATTTTCGCATGCAGGAGACTGAAAAGGCAGGCGGAAAGCGGCCTCTGCCGATACAAGGACCGCCAGGCGTGGTTTCAAAACCGCGGGTGTTCCCCAAAACAGGTGAATGCGCTCTCCTAAATGGGGCATTCCCTTATAATCAGGGATTTATTTCTGGTGAAACGTCACTCGCCTGGTGATAACATGGGACCCGACAAATGCTCAGGTTTACAGGAATCGTCATGAATCGTTTTAGGAATCCCGAGCTTGCGCAGAGACTTCGACCGATGGCCATACGGCCCCTAAGGCGTTGGGCGCAAGAAAAATGGAATAAGAATTAAGTTGGTCCCCAATTTGCGATGCTTCCTCAATAGGGAATCTGGAAGTTGGATTGGCCGACCTTCCCTCTTGAATTGATTTGTGTATCTTTGGTGACCTGCTTGAAGGTGTATCTATTGTGTTTTTCAGGTTTATTTCAATTGAAACTCCCACCAGCAAACGATTGCTTCCCTAGATGTCATTTCTTCTAGGGCCAGCCCGCTTTTTGACGTACAACTTTCACTGGAGCAATTACGCAACGTGGTTGCCGCTGGATGTTGGGACTGACGGTCGTCAGGCCACAGTAACGTATCGTTGCTTTTGAGGGCATGTCATTATCACTGGACTCTTGGAGAACATTAGAACACCTCAGACTGCAGAACTCAAAGCAAGATGTAGCAATATCCTTAAATACCAAAAGTACCTCCATCCGGAGTTGATGAAAGGTTGTGAGGTGCATCTCACACATGTTCCATGCCCCAGGTAGAGACCAACAGAGTTTCAGGAACCCTAATTAGTGGTATGGTTTGGTGGTTTGGATTGCACTTGAACCCCTGGTTCTTGTAGAGGGACGGGACACTTCTTCGTTTTACCACAAAACCGCCGGGTTCCAAACCACCAAACAACGAGGGAAGCTGATAGTTCCGGTTCCACTTCTTTTGAACCTTGGACTGGAGCCAGTTGAAAGATGCTCGCCCCCAACTCGGCCTTCCGCTTCCATTCTTTCCCCCTGGAACCCGGCCAACTAACAAAATACAGATGGACCATTTTTGTTTGTCGCTGGGGGTCTCGGACAGAACTGGATTTCGGGCCTTAGGATTGAGATGGATTGAGTAAAAATATTATGCTCAAATTGGCGTTGGTTCAGAAAAGCTGGACCTTGGAGAGGTTTAGAAAAGAAGCCTGTGCCGGTCCAGAACATCTAATGTGTCAAATTTGGGAAGCTTGTTTGGACCGGTTTCAAAACCAACCAGCGTGAAACAGACGATGTGGAACGGTTCCTGGTTTAGTTGTCACTTTGGAAGAACCCAACATGAAACCGACCATGTGGAGGGGTCCCGAGTTTGAAACACGCACACACACAAAAAAAACAAACAAACGGCCATGATGTGTGGAAGTGCTCATCTCGATCTCATTTTGCAACTGCCCGCAGGGAATGCCAAGCGGCGCGCTCACTAGAGGCAGGTGCCGTCTTTGCTGTGTGCTGGGTTGACGTTGCTGATGGATGTACTTGTAGAGGGTAAGAGTCCGTTAGCCCCCAGAAATCATGGGGCACACATCCATTGTTGTGAAGTTGCAAAATTAGGGACACATGTGTAGACATACTCCTGTGTTGGTGCCTATTTGGGTATTCATATATATATATATATATATGTATTAACTAACGTATATGTACATTTATTACAAACATGTGTATAGATGTACTGATGCCCATTTGCCAAAGCCCAGAGGGGTGCACTGCGGTTTGCTTCCATGAAGCTACTGCTAGGCATTTCTCCGCGCGAACGGCCGTCGCCGTTTTCCGAGGACTGGACATTTGGGACAGCCGGACCAGAAGGGTTTTGTCCTTGGGGGGGAACCCTCTTGTGGTTGGTTTTAAGCGGGTTCCATTTGGCCATTTTGGTGTCATTTGCCCCTTACTTACCGACAGACAGGGAGTTGTGCCGTCCAAGTAGTTTCACGCTGGTGTACCTTTTGCGCCCTTGGAAAATAGTCAACGCCCATCCTGGACGTGTGGAATCAAACCTTATGAATTGAACATTAACTTTGATAGACTTGTCGGAACATCCGTGCGCGAGAGCGCATGTTCGGCACGTTTCACATTGATGGTAAGCCTTATTAACCCCACTCTGAAGAAGATTGATGTCCGGATTTTGCGAGTCACATCTAGTTGTTGATCTAGAGGTTAGCGGATCAATCCGCACGGCATTAGCAGTTGATTCAGAAGACCTCGTTTTGCATCAGGTGATTGTCGGGTGGTTCCTTTCATGAAGCTCGTTCCCCCTGCCCGGCTGACGAAAATAATTACAACAGCTTTTGCATTGTTGCAAACTCAGCAATCAGTGCGAGTATCATTGAGTATCCAGCGAGCGACCGAGCGACCTCGGAAGGAGTCTGTGGAGTCAGCTTGAGGTGAGCTGTCATGTGGGTGAAGTCCTTCGTTCGCTCAGCGACGGCGGCTTCAGTTGCAATGAGAAGTAGGGGCCTGAAATTGGGCTGCTTGGGGCACAGAGCTGTCTAGAGCTCACAGACTGTTTAGGACACGTCCACTTCCCCCCCGTTGAGCATTGCCTTCAAGGCTGATCAGACTCGCACGATGTCAGAGGTAATGATGCCGATTGCCAAGCACAGCCCGCGCCCCGCTTGCATTGTGCAAATTCATTTGCAAGTGCAGGGGTCCAAAATTCGAGCTTCATGTCCAGAACCCAGCTGCGAAGTCAAAAGTCAAGAGTCGGGCGCATGTGCTGACCGGTTGGTTCGATGCTTCAGCCAACGGCGCTTTGCGGTGCTTGTGTGGAATGAGGTCAAGAAGTGTCAAAACATACATCAATAAGCCAGCGCTGAAGTGGGTGTGCATTAACGAATGCCCTCTTCATGATTAATTTCCTGTTTGGCCTCCCAAGCTTGTTTCCATGGGTGACCGACCGTGTGTGGCCATGCATGGAGAAGTCTTGATTGCAACAAGCTTGTGACATTGGTTTTGTCTCGGGAAGCAGAACTGACACCAAACGGGACTCACAAGTGCAGCAATCGCGGGAAAGCAAGTGCGAGCCAAACAAAAAAGCAAAGGACACACACCAAGACCTGTTGCAAGTGCCGTTCGGGGAAAAAATATATGAAAAGACAAAATATGTTCACCTAATTAAGTTCAAGCAGGGGAACCGCCAAAGTAATTCTGCTCATTGCCCTCCTGCTTGATGTTTGAGACATACCCAGCGGCGTGTTCGAGGGCAAAAGCTTTGCATTTTAGTTGGTGTTTTAACTTTAACCAACATCTTGCCGAGAGCAGCCGGTTTCCAGGCTGGCAGAGTATCCAGGTAGATTCTAGGTACCACCTTCGTTCCAATCGCTGCTCAACTGAGGTCCCTAATCGTCGCTCAATGAGGTGTTGTTATTCTGGAGAAATTGGCTGTTCCACTGGTCGGCTTTTTGGTTCGCCCTTTCAGCAAAGCTTTTTGAAATTGGTTCTTTCCCCGACCAACTAGCGACAAGTTTGGCTTTTTGAAATAGCTCAAAGGCCAACGCTGATGGATCCTCAATTGCTTGTCAAGAAAGATGGAGAAGCCAAGATACCCCAGCAGGAGCCTTACGGCCTTTTGGATAACTTTCCTGTGGAGAGTCTTGGCTACCCCGAAACCATCATTCCGATATAAAACGATATAAAACCACGTACTGTACATCAATGTTTTATAGAAAGGCTGCCTGTTCTTCCCTGTGATTTTATGCCGTGTCCTTAGCCTATCTAACCAAAGTGCTCCAGGGCCACTGGCATTCAGTGTAGGGCACCGATGCGATGCTCCAAGATACCCTTTTCAGGGCCGGTTACATGACGTTTGGTCAAAATGACCAGATGTTCCATTCGGGAGGAACATGGGGGACTGTGTGAATTGCCCCAAAATCCCTTAGGCAACAAGTAAATTTGACCCTGTCTTGCATGAAATACTGCCTTGCATGGGGTCCGTAGGTTCGACGACCCTCCTATAGATCCGGCATATCATAATATGACCCAGCTCGCTGGTCACTGGATTTCGGGGCACGTACTCGTTGTACCCCTTTCTGGGTGGTAAGTGAGCTATGCTTCTTAATTCTCCTCAAGCTACAAAATGGATGGATATGATTAGATTCCTCCAGACCCCCTATTCACCACCTAGTTTAGACGGTTTTAGGGCCAGCTTCTCTATGAAGGAATTCCCTCGAACGCGGTGCAGCAATTAGTCATGGGGATGCGCCACTTGGGGGTGGATGGACGCACTCTGGCAGCACTGGGGATGGATGAAACCCTATGAATACTGGGACAAACCAGCTATCAACTGGTGCGAAGCAGTTTTGTCAGTATCGCAGAAAGGGCAACATTTTCCAGCTTGGTACCCTTTTCGCCCTGGTTGAAAAAGGCAAAGCCACAGTTGTTGGGGGGGAGGGCGGGGGGGGTGGTCCCTCTCTATTCGGACGCACACACACGCACACGATGCACATGCTTCGCAGTTCCCGGAGGCCAGTGCCGCCTGATCTGCTTGGCCGAGAGGAGTTGTGGCACAAGGCCTGGAAGCGAACCTACGAGCCCGGAGCCTCAAGCGAGAACCACGTGCTTTGAAGAAGCCAGTGAAAGGCATCCTGCCCCAATGCCCTCAAACAAGTTGCCCAGGGCTTCGGAGGGGCCAAATCTGGGTTCTCCGTTGGAGGGTTGAGTTGGAGGGTCAAGAGGGGAGTCTGCAGTGGAGGCATGGCTCGCAAAAAGATTTCTGTTTGCCAACTTACCCATCGTAAAGGATTGATTAGAGGACCCTTTTCTAGGGCGCAAACTAGCAGTTTAAACTGCGACGCGAGTACAGCATGAAATTTGACAGGAAGCTGGCTCAGGGCAACACATCACTGATATGGTGACTTCACAAGCCCATTTTGCTTCACTCGGGTTGGTGAACAATTGGAAGTGAAATGACCTCGCGACGATGAAAGCCGAGCAAAAACAAGCGTTGCCAAGTGGGTTCCACCCTTGTCTCCCTTTGTGGGTGGGGCTTCCCTACGCCGTCCAAAATCCGAAGCAACAGAGGACAATCCAAAGATTAGCAGGTCGGCTTTGGACAGCTATGTTTGGAGTACACCTCCTTTTTGGCATGGTTAGATAGACCATCCCTATGCTTTCGCAAGGCCAAAGAAACATGCACAAAGGGCCTGCAACCCACAAGGTCAACCAATTTTGGGCGATGACGTATCATGCTAGTCAAAACCAGCCAAACGGTTGAGTCATCAACGATTTGACCCAGAATCCTCAACTCACTTTCCTGACATATGCTATGCGTAAAACGACACACGAGACAAGAACAAACAATGGCAAGCATCGTTGTTGAGCTCACTACGCCAGCCAGTGAAGCTGTATTTGTATTTGTTGTCAGGCACGGAAACACGCAGTGTGTAAAACCATTGCCGTGTTGAGAACAAGGCCATGCAACAACCATGGTGTTGCGCAACGACAAAACCGTACCAAAGGCAACCACCAATGATCAAATATGAATGGCAAATACTATATGACGGCACGCATTCATGACTCACACATTGCCAGTCATGTTGCCCAGTTTCTCAGAAGATTCTATTTTGTGCGATCCTGCAACTGACCAGCACCATCCAGCGGCTTTTGTAATTCCATGTTTACACAGAGCAGGTCTTGGGTGGTTCGGCAAGCGTTCCCAGTTTTATCTTTGTCATACACAAACGCATGTTTCATGGGTGCTTCTCAAAATAGGGATGCACTAACTAAAAGGTTGGTGCCATTTGGCTTCCCCGTAAGTACCAACCGAAAGGGAAGCACCCATTTTGAGAAACTGATATGTGCCCTGGTCAAAGTACCCTTGGACTTGGTAGGGATGGTCATCAGACCCGAGGGGCCCGAGGGCATTTAGACAACCGGCAAGCGCTGCAAGGTCAGATTCAGAGGACGAGGAGTTCCGGGCTCAGAGTGCAGCTGACCTGCAGTGTTTCGTGAAATTGGGGACTGCGCCCGAGTTGTGATTGGTTGTCAAGGGGGACGCTGAGGCACACATAGGCAAATAAACAGTACCTCAAGTCGTGTACTCACATTCCTGTTAGTGTGCCGCTTTGTGTGCACATATAGGCATATATTGCAGCATCAGCGACATCACATTCGCACAGGACGGCATCCTGCTGTTTGACCAGAGCCGATTTCTTTCCTCAGTACGTTGCCAGGTAGCTGATAGCAGATGAGTGAGGATGTTTAAACGATTTGAATGCTTTGCAGCCATCAGAAGTCCCGTCCCAGCGGCGGGCTATATGGTTTTTCATTGGATCTTTGTCTGCCTAGTAAATGCAATGCCTCGTTCAGGGGGGAGAAGTACGCCTGACCAAGAGGTACGAAGGTCCGAGTTAGTGATGTTCAACAGCCCATTCAGACAGATCCCTGCTTTGTCTGGATCTGTGCCCGCTGTCCTGGGGTCACGTGTTGATCCAAGCAGACTGCAAGATCCAATCTAGTTCCGTTCCGCGGCCTCCATTGGCCGCACATCCGTCACTGCACGCTGGTTCTCACTTTTGCTTCGAGAAATTCCGTCCAGATCCAGTCATGGCGATAAATTTCACGGGCAAAGTATTTCAAATTGGTTTGCGAGTAATAGACTCTTATTCAACCCAATTCAAACAAAAACCCATGCGGCCACAACAGGTTATACAGCCTTGGCCCTGTAAACCTCGAGATCCTTTGGACAACTATGGAGCATGTGACCATGAAATCAGTCAGCGTGGGGTGATGAAGCGAAGCGCGCGCTTCACTGGTCTTTGCTCGGAAGGGTGAACAGATGCCCCTTGCAGAGACCATTCGGTCGAGTCGAGCTCGACATCTCGGGTGCAACAAATAAGCCTGTTCGGCCTGTCCGTAGCCCGCTTGCGTCGGACGCAGTTGTTTAATGCCGACCTTTTGACCTATAGTTGTTTGGTCCATTTTTCGTCAAGGTCCAACAAGGTTCACCTTTTCATTTCCAGGTTC